CAGTGTGTGACACATGTACCCTCAATGAATCCCTAACAGTAAAAAAAAGAAAGAAAACATATGAAGTAGAAAAATCACTTTTAAAGGCAAATATATAATTAAATTCAAAATAGTCTTTTTTTTTTTTTATTTTTAATGGAGACAGAGTCTTGCCCCAGGTTAGAGTGTCATGGCCTCAACCTAGCTCACAGCAACCTCAAACTCCTGATCCTTCTGCCTAAGCATCCCCAAGTAGCTGGGACTATAGGTACCCACCACAATACTTGGCTAATTTTTCCATTTTTAGTAGAAATGGGGTCTCATTTTTTGTCAGGCTGGTCTCAAATGCCTGATACTCAAGCAATCCTCCAGTCTCAGCCTCCCGAAGAGCTAGGATTACAGGCGTGAGTCACCATGCCTGGCTGTAAGCTTTTGATTTATTCACATTCATGGATCGCATGGGAGCATTTCCAGAGCTAGCAAGTGTGGCAGTTTCCTCCTATTTCTTCTGCTGCTAATAACTATGGGTATTTTTCTTTACCTCTGCCTTTGGCTCAGCTGATTCATTAGAGGTATCAAGTTGTTCCTTGGCTTGGGCCATCTGAGTCATCAATCTATCCATGTGGGACTGGATGTCTGCCAGTATCTCAGTCACATGAGCGGTGGCCATTGCTTCCTGGATGTCTACTAGATGAAGGGCCTTCTGCTCCTCATCAGCAATCACTTTCTGAACTTTCTTAAATTCCTGCTGTATAAACACCTTCATCTGGTCCCGAGTTACCTGTAGAACACAGACAAGTAAGAAGAATAAGATGGACAAACAAAGAAATGGAAGGGTAGAGTTACTGGTAAGCAGTCCTGGGGAACAAACTATGGTTTCTATCTGATCCAGAAGTTTTTGGAAGATCCTATAAACAATATTCTCTTAAATTCTTTGATGAATATTCTTGGTAATCTTTTTGCCTATTGTGTTCTTCAGGAAGTAATTTTGTATGCTGTTTTTTTGTTTTTGGTTTTACTCATTTTTATACCAGTAATATATAATGACTGTTTAAAAATTTTAATAGATGAGTATATATAGTCAAAAAATAATTCTTTTTTCTCCAATTACCATTAAGTATGGAGCATATCTTCTCAGCTATTTTTCTATATAGTTATGTAACATACAGGTATACAAATAATTATATAGTTTTTATATAAATGGATCATTATGAACATACGGTTTGGTATCTTTTTTTTTTTTTTTTTGACAGAGTATCACTTTGTTACCCTAGGTAGAGAGCCATGGCATCTTAGCTTATAGCAACCTCAACCTCTGGGGGTCAAGTGATCCTCCTGCCTCAGCCTTCTAAGTAAGCTAGGACTACAGGTACCCACCACAATGGCTACTTTTTAGAGACGGGGGTCTTGCTCTTGCTCAGGCTGGTCTCAAACTTGTGAGCTCAAGCAGTCTATCAGCCTCAGCCTCCCAAGTGCTGGGATTATAGGCATAAGCCACGGCATCTGGGCGGTATCTTGCTTTTCTACTTAACATGTTTGTGCATACAGATAAACATCATTCTGACACAGATATGTATGTGTGTGTATCTCTTATTTAACCATTCTTCTCTTAATGGACATATAGTATTATTTCCAATTCTTTTGCAATTATAAAAACATAGCCAGGAACATCCTTGGATATACCTCTTAATATTTGCATATGAGTTCCTTTAGGGACCTTTGGAGCCACTAAGTCAATGTATATATGCTCTAAAAATAGTGATTGATACTACCAAGCTGCCTTTCAAAAAAGATATACAAATTACTTTCCTGTCAAAACATGTGACCAGACACAGAGGCTCACAACTGCAATCCTAGCACTCTGAGAAGCTAAGAAGTGAGGACTGCTTAAGGTCAAGAGTTTGAAACCTGCTGGAGCAAATTGAGACTCCATCTCTACTAAAAACAGAAAAATTATCCAGGCATTGTAGTATGTGCCTGTTGTCCTAGCTACTTGGGAGGCTGAGGCAGGAGGATTGCCCAGGAATTTGATGTTGCTTAAGCTAGGCTGACCATGGGACTCTAGCCTGGGTAATCGAGCTAGACTCTGTCTCAAGAAAACAAATGAAAAACAAAACTAACAAAACACAATGTGTAAAAGTAAGCACTTTCCTAAACCCTCACCAATACCGGATAATATCAAGCTTTTATATTTTTACTATTTGGTGAAAAGATAGTATTGTTTTATTTTATAACACTATGAACTAAATAAAACATGACTGTTGGCTGTACTTGACTAGGGCATAAGAAAGGCAAAGCAAAGTAAGTAACTATCAAAATAAGAACTTCTAAACTCCAAATCTTGCCAGCAACTACATTTACTGATGTTTCCTTACAGCCATGTTTATTTTATGAGTATTTTAAACAACTATGCATATTATGAGTAGCTGAGATAGGAAAAAGGGAAGAGTAGACAAAAGGAAAAAAGCCAACAGAGGATTTTAAACTTGGAAAAGAAAGCAGTTATCATCTAAGTGAAGTCCTTCCCTTTACAGGCAAGGAAACAGACACAGCTTGTAAGAAAGGCAAAGACACTAATCTTCCTTCTTGTTCTCAGACTGGAGCTCTATTCACTGTCACTCTGTCAGAAGGGAAGTCAAACTGGGAAAACCTAAAAACAGAGACTGAAGAAGAGAGACTAAAGGAGGGGTTTGGAGATGAGGCCATTTATAATTAGCCTTTTAAAAACAGATACCTTAAGCACCTTTTGTAATGCTGTCATAAGAAAATCAATGCAAAATAAGGCCTGCATGGTCTTTATCCACACATATATTAAGTGACTAAGTGACATAGGCCTTCAGGAATTCATATACTCTCTGCAGATGCTCTCCTTGGTGCTGTAGAAAAGTAGGGAGGAAGAGTGTTAAATGTTCTTAATGTCTCTGCAAATTCTGTACTAGATTGAGAACTGTGATTTGTGATTATATAATTCCTTTTTATTTTCGGTGCTTATATTTTAGGATTGCTATGCTTTATGGTGATCATTTATTGATGGATCTCTTGAAATAAATTTAGGTTTTAAATAACTAGGACCTTTCAGAGACCAAACCTGCCAAGTTTTCACTAAGGGATGGACTTTTCTGAATGACTGAGAAACTCTCTTAATGGCTACAAGTGACTAAAAATAGATATTTCAATAAAAACTCACAACTTATTTTACTAGGTATCACATACACATGTGGTTCAAAGTTGGAAAGGTGACATCACAGTAAGGAAAGATGGGACTAGAATACAGTAGGTGAATAAAACATTGTTTTTTAAATTCTCTATTTCCTATTGTTTTATATAAGTTTTTCAACATGACATTTTATTTATTTTTTATTTTTATTTTTATCTTTTTTTTTTTTTTAGACAGAGCCTCAAGCTGTCCCCCTGGGTAGAGTGCTGTGGCATTACAGCTCACAGCAACCTCCAACTCCTGGGCTCAAGCGAGTCTCCTGCCTCCGCCTCCCAAGTAGCTGGGACTACAGGCGCCCACCACAACGCCCGGCTATTTTTTGGTTGCAGCCGTCATTGTTGTTTGGCGGGTCCGGGCTGGGGATTCAAACCTGCCACCTTAGGTGTACGTGGCTGGCGCCTTAGCCGGTTGAGCTACAGGTGCCGAGCCTATGACATTTTATTTTATACAGATCAGGCCATAAATGAAAACTGAAGGCAAAATAATCTCTTTATAAAACCTTTATGCCTTATGACCGTTCTCATTCTCTACTAATTGACAAATAGGTATTCTCCAACCAAGTTCAAATTGGCAAGAACAAACTTCTGGGTCATTGTAGCCATTCAAATTTGAAACTCAGGAGACTCCCTAGGAGTCTGGGCCTAGGTGATCGGGCATATGGCTGGCAGGTTGGGTACTTTACAAAAGAACTCTTGACAATGGCAGGAGTGAGGCCCTTTCAAGACTCCCTTTCAGGTGCCATTTCATTTCCTTGTCATCAAACGCCATACTACAAAAACCTGCAGTTCTCCAAGAGTGGCAGGCCACTCATGTTGGGGCTTGCTATATGGAGTACTAGCTTCATTTTCAAGTACATTTCTTAGGATTTCTTCAGCATCTGTCCTATAGTTTCCCAAAAGTGAGAGTGGCAGTCTTATACTATTGACTATATAACTATATGCAATGATACACAAAAAGAGAAAACTATACGTACTCAGAGAAGAAAGCTGGATGTACCACAGACTAAAGTTCATGATATAAAAGGTTCCTTTTATACAGCACCTACTAGTAATTATCAAACATTTTTCAAGCCACAGAACTTCCCTTACCCCAAACAAAAAATGTGGAACCCCCATAAAGCCAAAAATGAAACCATTCTGGTTAAAAGAAAAATATCCCTACCCTTCTTGAAGTTCTTCCTAGGGCACTGGTAGTGGTCTTCAGGAAAATCTCACCTGAGAGACCTGGGTCACAAATGAAACCTGATTCCTTTGGTTAACAGACTGGCCCTAAGTTTCCAAAACCTTTAGTCCCTAAGTTATAAGCAAGATGATACATCTTTGTTATACTTGCATTAAGATGAAATATGTGATGTTGATTCCTTAAACATAGCATTTTACTAAAATTACTTAACCATAGTATTATAATGTTTGAGAACTGTGAGAAAGATTTGACCATCATATGATCAGAACTAACTAGTAAACACTTGAGTCCAACCTCCTTATTTTACAGATAAAGAAGAAAAAAGCCCCAGAGAAATGCAGTAACAAAGTCATATTTAGAAACTTTTCTCTGGGCCAGACTAGTATATTTGCTGCTACAACATATTACCTCCAATGATCCCTTTCTGACTATCCCACGTTTTACACATTCATTCTTCTTAACTGAGATAGTTCCTCAGTTAACAGGCTGCTTCTGTCGTTATTCCCAATGGGATATTATTCTCCCTAAGTAAAACATGTGATAAAGAATTTATATCTGAAGAGTTACTGTCTTATCCCACGGTATTTTCCATATGTTCTCGCAGTTTAATATTTCTAAGGTAGGCTAGACCCAAGAGGCATACAGACCGGCACTTCACACATACATAATTAAATATATAAGACTTTGAATTAAAAAGCATGTTCTTAAAGACAACATCCACTCAAAGTACTGGAAGCTGGAAGCCATTAACTCCCAGCTAGGTGGCCTATAGAAAACCAAGGTTTTATTTACTTTTTAAAAATCTACTTGTTTATCCGAGGTAGATTATAAAAGCAACAAGCATACTAGCTAGAAAGCATCATCATGACTTAAGAAAGATTTGGTCCAGAACAGCATTCCTGAGATGAAGTAAGAAAAATGGACGAGGAAGAACAGGAAGCTGCTCAAAAGAGAAGCATCCAAGTCTACACTGCTTGAACATTTCAGAAATGCTTGTTCTATTAGCCACACTTCTGCAAGGTTTAAAGGCTATTCCAAAATTAATTTTGAAAATTGAGGACCACATGAAATAGAGGATGAGGACTCTAAATATCTCCTCTAAAAGACCCAAAAGTCCATTTTTACTTCCCTCTTCTTCATCTGAATGGCCACTATTCTAAAATAGAAAAATAAATGAGCAGGAAATGGAACTTTTTCAGATCCTGTAGACTGTCCTTACTGCCAGAGCACAATGTCCTCCCTTTTCAATGTCTATTGGAAATTTTAAAGTTGGGAAACTCAAAGTTGCCTCCAGAATTTATTCTGGCATTATTCTACAAGAGAGCTCCTTTTAAACTTCTACCAGGCTCCAATGCGGGCAGGGAAGAGCTTCATCAACAATC